GGAACCACCTGTGGCTCAGTGAGGTGGTATCTTGCAAATGACTAGCAGATGGGAATAGTACTTCTTTTGAAGAGGAAATTCTGTCCTATGCCTGACCTGTCCTTGTATTTCCTCTTAAGCAGGATGTGTTAGCCACTGTTGGAGGCAGAATACAGGATCTCAGGGACTTTGTCTCATCCCGCATTGTGAAACTCCCAGTGTTGGTTACAGAAAAACTGGTGATGGGACTAAGAAGCCATGGTTTGCCTGTTAAGAGCACTAACAGAGACATCCTGTACTGGCTTTGCAGTAAATATAAGAGGAAGCCAGAGGGCCAGAAGAAGATGAGAAGCAGGAGAGGGCAGATTACATGTACTGTTTTGTTTTTCAGTTACCAGAGAAAATGGTAATAATCTGGAATAAGAAAATGAGAAAAACAGCAGGATATTGTCTAACTGGACAGACAGAAGGTTCTGAAGCAAAGCGTTATGCTCGCATAGAACTTTCTGAGAAAGTTTGTGACTCTGCAGGTAGGTAAAAGAAAAGATATGTTGATTCTTTGAGAAAGCAAGTTCTAGAGATAAAAACATGAATCTGAGGCCTAAGAGATCTGGAACTGGACATTGCTTTGAAATTTTATATTACCTTGAATAAATAAACCCATTAGTGGTAGTACTTGTCTTCACAGCCCTTCTAAGAGGCTGGACAAGTTTAAAAAATATGAGAACAGAGATGTATTCATGCTAACTGCAGTATTTTATTTATATTTCTTATTGATTTGAAGATCTATAGGTTACTCTAATTCTATATGTACTGTAATGGCAATCTAAAATCTGACTTCTTCCATCATAGCTAGCCACCTTGTTAGTAGTATTTAAAGCTGGAGTAGAGACAGGTTAGTGCCAAAGTACTTCCTGTTATGTGGTGGGTACCATGACTGTTATTTCTCCCTCTTCCCTCCCAAATTGGGGAAATGAATGTTGTAGTTTCTGTGGGAGAACCAGTTCTGTAATTAATAGAATATTTTGAAGTAAGCTTAATACATTCAATATGAGAGATATGACAAAGTACCCTGGGAATCTGCTTTTGAGGGCTTAGGAGTTCATGAGTGCTGGTTGGTTTTTAAGAAGCACCTTTTAGAAGCGCAGGAGCAGGTAATCCCATTGTGTCATAAACCAAGCAAGGCAGAAGACCAGCTTGGCTGAACAGGGAACTCCTCGTGGATCTCAAGAGGAAATAGAAATTGTATGATCTCTGGAAGTGAGGTCAGGCTTTGCAGGATGATTGCAGAGGTGTAGTTCCTATATGGAGGCAGAAGACGCGAAAGGCCAAAGCTCAATTAGAGTTGGAACTGGCCAGTGTTGTGTTAGATAACAAGGACTTTAAGTATGTTAATAGCAAGAGGGAGGTTTAAAGGAAACATTGGACTGATGCTTGTTTAAGATGGTCATCTGAATAATAGGGATGAAGAAAAAGTGGAGGCATTCATTGCTTTTTTTTTTTTTTTTTTTTTTTTTTTTTGCCTCAGTCTTTAATAAAACTGACAGCCCTTGGACTGCCCAGTCTCCTGAGTTAGAGCACCACAAGTGTAGGGATAGTGACTTTACATTTTTTGATGCTGAGGTTGTCAGGGACCAGCTGTATCAGCTGAATATTAACAAGTCCATGGGGCATGATGTACTAAAGGAGCTAGCAAATGTTATGGCAGGACCATTCTTGATCATCTACCAAAGGTCTTGGGAGTCTGGGGAGGTCCCTGCTGACTGGAAGCGAGCCAATGTTATTCCAATTTACAAGAAGGGCGTGAGGGAAGACCCAGGAAACTACAGACCTGTTAGTCTAACATCACTTCCTGGAAAAATTATGGAGAAGATCATACTGGATACTATTGAAAGGCATTTAAAGAATAGCACAATCATCAGGCACAGTCAGTGTGGGTTCACAAAGAGAAAGTCCTGTTTAACTCATTTGATATCCTTTTATAAGGTCACCCACCTAGTAGATGAAGGGATGGTGGTAGATTTAGTTTTTCTGGATTTTAGTAACGCTTTTGATACTGTCCCTCACAGCATCCTTCTGGACAAGTTGTCCAGCTGTGGGAAAAACAGGTTCATGGTGCACTGGGTGAAGAACTGCCTGAAGGGCAGAGCTCAAAGGGTTGCAGTGAGTGAGGCTACATCTGGCTGGTGACTGGTCACCAGCGGTGTTCAGTTCCAGGGCCAGTCCTGTTCAATATATAATCAACCATCTGGATGCAGGAGTTGAATGCACCATTAGTAAGTTTGCTGATGATACCAAACTGGGAGGTGCTGTTGACTCTCTTGAGGGACAAGATGCCTCGCAGAGGGATCTAAATAGATTGGAGTATTGGGCAATTATTAATGGGATGAAATTTAACAAGTCCAAATGCTGGATTCTGCACCTGAGAGGGAGTAATGCTGGGCACAAGTATAAATAGGGAGAGGAGTGGCTAGAGAGCAGCCCTGCAGAAAGGGATCTGGGAGTGCTGGCTGGCAGCAGGCTCAATACGAGTCAGCAGTGTACCCTGGCAGCCAAGAGGGCAAACTGTATCCTGGGGTGCATCAAACACAGCATAACCAGCTGGTCAAAAGAGCTGATTATCCTACTGTATTCAGCATTGCTGCAGCCTCACCTTGAGTACTGTGTGCAGTTCTGGGCCCCACAACTTAAGAAGGTTGTGAAGGTCCTTGAATGTGTACAGAGGAGGGTAACAAAGCTGGTGAAAGGGCTGGAAAAAACGTCCTTTGAGGAGAAGCTAAGGACTTTGGACTTGTCTAGTTTGGAGAAGAGCAGGCTGAGGGGTGACCTCATTGCTCTCCACAGCTTCCTGAGGGGGGGAATTGGAGAGGGTGCTGATCTCTTCTCCCTGGTAATAGGACACGTGGGAATGGTACAGAGCTGTGCCAGATGAGGTTTAGACTGGGCATTAGGAAGCATTTCTTTATCAAGAGGGTAAAGATGGTGGTCAAACACTGGAACAGGCTTCCTGAAGAGGTGGTCAGTGCCCCGAGCCTGTCAGTGTTTGAGAGGCATTTGGACAATGCCCTTAATGACATGCTTTAACTTCTGGTCAGGTAGTTGGCCTAGATAGTCATTGTAGGTCCCTTCCAACTGAAATATTCTATTCTAATTGTGGAGAAAATTCAGTGCTCTGCTCTAGTTGTTTCTGGATGAAAAATATCAATGTTAAAAAAGCAATGAATCTTGGGCTAAATAAAGGTGTTTCAGGTCTCATTGAAAACAACCCCCAACAAACCAAAAAAACCCAAACAGATTAGGCATGCAGGGAAGTAACTAGGATGCAGAATTAGGGCTAATCACAAAACTGGAAATGCACTGAGTAAAGCCTTGTTTTGGGGCATTTTATCTTATCAAAACATTGGTAGTTCCAATCTCCAAAATAACTCTTGCATCTTAATAAAGAATGAGTGTCAAAGTCTGAAGGAGTGACCAAGATGAAAGTCCATACTTTCCCATACCTGACTGATCTTAATGTCTTTTGTTTGCCTTACCACAAGATCGTCTTCGAGACACGCTAGTTCATGAGGTTTGCCATGCAGCCACCTGGCTGATCAATGGTGTTCGTGATGGACATGGAAGATTCTGGAGATTCTATGCCAATAAATCAGCTGTGATTCATCCAGAACTGCCAGTAGTAACACGATGCCACAGCTATGAGATTAATTACAAATTCATCTATGAGTGTGTTCTGTGCAAAGCTACGTGAGTAATGTTTTGATCTTGCATATGACTATGTATTAACTTTGTCTCTAACTTGGCGGTCTTATGTGTCTTGAAATCACGGGTCTCTTAAACTGGGATACTCTCAGAGTTGTCACTTCACATTTCCTGACCCCACAGAACCTCACTACATGATTCCACATGTTTGTTTCCAGGTAGTTTCAGTTCCAGTTCAGAGGTCAGGACAGGCAGAAGTGTCTTCTGAGGACCACTGTTGGTGATGGAGGCCTTTGAGAATCAGTAAGAGCTCAGAATACATGCCTCAGCTTTGAAGGACATGGCAGGGAAAGGTTACGCTCCATGTGGCTGCTTTCACTTTTCAAACATTGCTCAAGTGATGTAAATTTGGACTCATTTTCTACTGTAGTTAATATTGAGTGAACTTGTGAAAGTTTTTGACCACATATCTGACTTCATGGTCAACGCTGATCCTATTATAGGCTTTTGGAAGGGGGTGGTATTTCCAGTCTTAGCTTAGTACGACATCAGGAGTAATACTTGTGGGCCTACACTGACAGAGCACTAACTGGATCTGACACATCCCTGTAGAATGGTTAAGCAAAGTACTATCGTGTGTTGCAGAAATAAGGCATTCCAAGTTCTTTTGAAATCTATCAATGCTTTACAAAGTAGTATCTTTGAATGTGCCATGACAACAATCTACGTTTGATCTAAGGAAAAACAGTCCACAAGGGGATGCTAGACTTGGCATGGTGCACTGAATTACTTTTTATACGCTCATTTTTGTAAAGATACTGAGGGCCATCTGATACTGAAAGAAGTCAGTAGTAACTGGAATTCAAAAGCAGAACACGTCCCCATAAGAACTGGGCACAAAATGTGTGACAGTAATTAGATATTAGAACAGAGTATCAGAGGAAGCTCTCTGGGTTCTGTATCTTGATGACTCTGTATTAAGACTAAACAATTTGACTAATCTTGTATCTTTGTTATGGTAGTGCTAAGTAAAATGTAGATACCAACAATATAATGATTTCTATGGTTTAAAACGTTACAAAAGCTATAGTCAGTTTTCTAGTCATTCGGTTTTTTTGTTTTTTTTAACCTCATGGACTCTTTCAAGTTGTGTATATATTAAAGGAAGAACAGATGTCTGCAGCCACACAGATGTGAGTAGCACTGTGATGTGAAGAACTGAAGCTAGGACACAGATATACTGATTGCAGCATTGGTTATCAGGCCAAGTCTTCCTTACTGCATTTGTGAAATGAGAACTATGTATGTTGCTGAGATCAAGCAGAAGGAGTAGTTGCTATAGTTATTTCACAGGTTTCTTACCTTTCAAGGGTGTGGAAGGTGTACTCTTTTCTGGAAGATCATAGCTGACCACAGACTTCTGTATGTAATGACCTCAGTCTCAGTGGGAGAGCATGAAGTTGTGTGAATTCAGTTCTGCACAGCCCAGGGAAGTGGCTGACAGTGGTGTGGCGCTTTTTTTTTTTTTAATTTTTAAAAAAGCTATTATATTCCACCACCCCCCCTCCCCATTTTAGGAGCTAAACACATGCTTAGAAAGCATGCATGGGATTTTCTTTCTCAGGATCATATGTGCTACTTCCAGAAGCACTGGAAGGAAACAGTATTTCACATATTAAACACTTCAGGAAGATTCTTACATATGACTATGCAATGCGTCAGTTGCTTAGATGCAACAGAGCATTGAGAAGACTTGAATGGTGATGGCTTTGAGGAGAAATTCTAAGGGATAGTTGATACATAAGTTGTGGAGGTGTTTTGAAATGTTGTAGCACTTCGTACTACTAGGCTGAGAGTAAAAGAGATGGTAAAGAACCAAGCTGAAAATGCAGTGGAAAAAGTTCTAGGGTAGAGAGAAATGTGTAATACAGATTTTATTGTTCCACTGTGTGAAGTATGTAGTCTGGTTCCTGTTCTAAAATGCTAGCTTAGAAATCTGACCTAAGTAGCTTGGCAGAAGAGAAAGGCGCCCTTTCCCACAAGTACTGTCTACTACAAGTTTGAAACCAAAGTACTTATTTTTCCATTTCAGGATTGGACGTCATTCCAAGTCTCTGGACACGGAGTGCTTTGTGTGTGCCTTCTGTGGGGGGCAGCTGGTCCTGAGTCAGTCCACTTCGAAGGGCGGCACTCCTGCTAGGACACATCTCACACCCTTTGCAAAGTATGTGAAAGAAAACTATGGACTTACTAAAAGAGAGCAGCATGGGCTGAGTCATGCAGAAGTCATGCGGAAGCTCAGTGCTGATTTTGCTTTAAAAACTAGGCTTCAAGATTCCTTGTAATATCTCAATACACTTCCTTTCTTGATGCCACTTAAATTTTGTATGTAGTAGTAAATTAGTCTAACATGAGTCTTAAGAATGTGTTTCTGAGGATTCCAGATAATTTTATTATTTTGGCATTAAATAATTCTGATAAAGAAGACTTTAAGGCCTTTTCTAAAATGGGCAAGAGTGAGCAAGAAGTAATGATGATAGAAAGTCTGTAGCAATGCACAAGTCAGGGTATCCTTCTTAGCCTTCAGATAAACACCACCTGTGCCTGGGAAGATGCAGTTCTAGGCCAAATGGATTTACTCTTTCATCTGGGTAGCCGATATGCTATAGACTGTGTATATGTGCTGAAGAACTGGTAGGTCTACATCTATTTGGGATTGCCAGATGCAAGAAAAACCCAGGCCCATGAACCAAAGTCCTCTGATTCTGTCTGGATGACATCCAGGCAGGAAAAGGGGCAGACCTGAGGAATGCTTCAACATGGGTTCAGGCATTCTCCCAAGGAGAGTTTCTTGAGTGATTCTTGGCTGTTTTTGTTAAAAGTGGTAGGTAGATGATGCCTTAATCTGTTAGAGAAAGCATGCAAAGACCTCTGGCCCTTTGTGACATCAGAGCTCTTTCTGATTAAATTTTGATTGCAGTTGTGCCTCTATCACTGAGATTTATAAAGCTAAAATAGATGCAAAAGGTCAGGTTGGGGAAAGCAAATTCAAACACTTTCCACCATAGAATGAGAAGGTCTAGTCAGATGACTTAAGTCTTTCATGTAGAACATGACTGAATGTGTGTTACGGTGTTTGTGTCTTCTGTGAACAAATTGCTCAGGGGATTAGTAATTTTGAATAATCAATAAATGCCAATTTTATACTAACTGTGGCAATGAACTGGGCTTCTTTTGTTTCAATTTAACCATGGCTGAGTAAGTATAGCTATGTCAGGAAGTTATCTTCCACACACTCCAGGAACCTTCTAGACCATTTCTTCTCTGCTGTGCTGTATTTCCAGCAGACGTAAGGTAAGTTGAAGTCTCCCGTGAGAACAAGCGATTGCGAGACTTCTGCCAGCCGCTTCATCTACCTCTTCATCCTGGTTGTGTGGTCTGTAACAGACTCCTAGCAGGATATCTGTTTCACTTGCCTTCCCCCTCATCCTTACTCATAAGCACTTGACCGTATCACAGTCATGAGCTCTATACAATCAAAACACTCCCTGACATACAGAACCACCCCACTGCCTCTCCTTGCTTGCCTATCATTTCTAAAGAGCTTATAGCCATCCGTTGCAGCACTCCAGTCATGGGAGTCATCCCACCATATTTCTGTGATGGCAGCTAAGTCATAGCTAGCCTGCTGCACAATGGCTTCCAGCTCCTCCTGTTTGTTGCCCATGCTGCGTCCATTGGTGTGGATGCACTTGAGCTGGGCTATTGATTTCACCCCCAACATTGGCATGCCAGCCCTAGGCTCCTCTTTAGCGAGCCTGGTTATATCCCCTTCCCCCTTCAAACCTAGTTTAAAGCCCTCTCGATGGGTCCTGCCAACTCATGAGCGAGAATCCTTTTACCCCTTTGAGACAGCTGAACTCCATCTGTTGCCAGCAGGCTGGGTTCTGTGTAAACCTCCCCATGATCAAAACCCCCAAAATTCCACCGATGCCACCAGCCTTTTAGGCACATGTTAATCAGGTGAGTTTTCCTGTTCCTTTCAGTGTTGTTCCCTGCCACTGACAGGATTGAGGAGAACACTACCTGTGCTTCTGATCCCTCAACCGACCGCCCTGGTGCCCTGAAGTCCCTTTTGATTGCTTTTGGATTTCTCTCTACAACCTCATTGCTACCAACCTGCATGACCAAAAGCAGGTGATAATCAGAGGGCTGTACCAGACGGAGGAGTTTCTTAGTAATGTCCCTAACCTGGGCCCCAGGGAGGCAGCAGACTTCTGTGGGATGGGTCTGGTCAGAATACTGGGCCCTCTGTTCCCCTCAGAAGGGAATTGCCTAAGACAATTACCCTCCTTTTTTTCTTAACAGAGGCAGTCATAATGTGTGGGGCTGACTGACTCTAAGCAACCTGCTGGATGGACCTTCACCTACATCCTCATTTGCCTGGCCCTCAGGTTCAAGAGCCCCATATCTGTTGTGTAAGGGCAACTGGGAAGGTGAGGGAGGCTGGGAGGGGATACACCTGCTGCCCCGAGCAGGGACCTGTTTCCATTCCCCCTGTCTCCTAGTGGCAAAAGTGCAGGGGATCCTCTGCTCCTTGTAGAGCCTCCATCTGCTGCCAGTCTGTCTCCCTCTCGCACTCCCTGACACTCTAACCTTTCCACTTCCTCTTTCAGCTCTGCCACCAGGCAGAGCAGATCATCTGTGTGGTCACACTGGAGACAGTTGTTGTCCTTACCACCTTCTGGTGAGTGACAGGCTCAGGCACTCCCTGCAGATGGAGACCTGGAGAGCTGTATGTGGGGGAGCTCCATCTGAGTTGCCACATTGCTTCTGGTGATGGCTTTCAGGTGAGTGGAAACCATAGCTAGGTTCTCTCCTGGGAGGGTGATGACCATTAGCTGAGTTACCCTTTAGAGCCGGGAAGGGGACTGCGCCCTGCCCACATGCCCTGCCTGTGCAAACTGCTGTGCCACACCCTTCTGATGTGCCATGCCCTGGTTGCCACGCTCCTGGTCACTTGTGCTCCCTGGGGCTGCTCTTATATGTGAGGGGGAGTTGGGCCACTGCCACCCTTGTCCCTGCCCACACTGAGTCAGAGCTGCCGCTTGTCAGGACCTCACTCTTTCTTGCTCTGGGGTGGGAGGTTGGGGTCCCCCCTTTCTCCCTGCTCTTTTGCCTTTGTGGTTTTGCCTTTGCAGTTTTGCCACTTTAGGAAAGATCCCCTAGCACAATCCTTCGCTCTGGAACCCTTTGCCTAGGTGGCTTGTATTCCTATGCTGTATGGGCTGGTGCTATACAATGGATAGGAAACTGGGCAAAATGCAATTGGCAGATAGGAAATCAAGATGTATGGGGAAGAAAATATTGGGAATAAATACACCAGATCACCAACTCCCATCCTATTGCTATAGGTTATGTAGCCACTGTCTCAATGCTCGTTTCTGACCTTTTCTCTACTCCTATTTGTAACCAACCACGGATCCTGAAGAGGCAACCTTTGAGCCACGGGGTGGTGTGAGGGACAGACTGGCTGGACATTTGTCTCAAAGCTTGCCCACATGAAGCTGGTCCCACAGGACCCTGCAGGGCAGCTGTTCAGGCCCCACCTGCCCCCCCCCTTCCACAGCCACAAGCTCTTTGGGTGTGCTCCGCCCACCACCGGCCTATTTACCTCTTTCTTCCTGATACAAAACTAGTTTCTTCTAGCACAGCTCCCCTCTCTCTCCTACTCAAGGCTATCGAAGGGTCCTAGCACAATTCTTCTATCTGTCCTGCTCAAGGATATGCTTCCTTCTATCTAAGCACATATAGCAACTTCTAAGGCTATTCGGCCATAAATTGTTCCAAGCTTGACTGAGTTGCTCCAATTAGAGGGGGACCGTCTGTTCCTTTTCAATGACAGAAAATTTGGTATCACCATGAGGGGCTTTATCCCCAGGAAAGCCACTAGTGAGGCTTGAAGGTACATGTGCAGGCAAGGTGGACCCCTCCAGCCAGCTGGGCTCGGACACTCAGCCTGCCCCTGCTGGCCCCTGGATCCCAGCCTCCCCAGTTGCTGGCCCCTGCATGTAGGAGCCCCCAAGGCCGCAGCCCTTGCCCACTTGCTGGTACAGAGCGTCCCACACCCCCTGAGCCACACAGGAATCCCCTGGTCTCATAGCTGACCCTCCGTGCTCTCACCACTGGAGACTCATGGGGTCTCTTGCACCCAGGGCTGGCCGACAGGGCTGCCCGCTCACCCCCTTGCTCCCAGGCCACGTCACCTGCTCACGGGCTCGTGCGGCTTGATCTTTGCTGGCCATCACACTCACTCCCACACCCACACTCGCTCCACTCGCTGCCCCAGGGGCGCGGGGGCTCTCCGCCTCGTGGTCTGACCCCAGCTGCTGCACTCACACCCCCGCGCACACATGTGGCGCACAGGACAGAGAGTCCTCATCCAGGACAGAGCCAGGAAGGCATTCAATAAGGAGACAGGACAGGCTGTGCTGGTCAGGCGCAGGGCAGGGCCAGGCCAGCACTCTGGCAAGGTGCTGGCAGCTGAGCGCCACTGCTCTCACTGTCCCGTGAGGCAGCTGCAGCAGAAAGCCCTGCGCAGAGCCTTGCAAGCTCTCCTGGCG